CCGCCATAGCCGGACGCCCCAACCCTCCTTCCTCCTCCATCACCTACCTTCATCCACCATAGCCGGACACTCCGACTCTCCTCCCTCCTCCATCACCTACCTCCATCCACCATAGCCGGGCATCTCGACCCTTCTTCAACCTCCGTCACCTACACCCATTCACCATAGCCGGGCACCCCGACCGTTCTTCAACCTCCATCACCTACACCCATCCACCATAGCCGAACACCCCGGCCCTTCTTCAGCCTCCATCACCTACACTCATCCACCATAGCCGGACGCCCCCAACCCTTCCCCTTCCTCCATCACCCCCACCCGTCCACCATAGCCAACCACCTCTAACCCTTCTTCCTCGTCCATCACCCACACCCGTTCTCCATAGCCGACCACCTCCAACTTTCTTCCTCGTCCCTCACCCACACCCGTCCACCATAGCCGACCACCCCCAACCCTTCTCCTTCCTCCATCACCCACACCCGTCCACCATAGCAGGCCACTCTCAACCCTTCTCCCTCCTCCGTCACCCACGCCCGTCCACCATGACCAACCACCGCCAGCCCTTCTTCCTCCTCCATCACCCACACCCGTCCACCATAGCCGGCCATCTCCAACCCTTCTTCTCCCCCGGTCACCCGCACCCGTCCACCCGAAAGTCTTAGGGGGTCGCAAGGGGAAAGTGCGGGACCCCGGACAGGATCGGTTAGGGTAAGTCAATGAGCAAGGTCGATTAGGATGTGAAGCTTCTTGTCACCCTTTCTCTCTCCCTCTCTCTCCCTCACTCTCTCTCTCTCTCTCTCTCTCCCCATCTCTCTCTGTCTTTCCCTCCCCCTCTCCCTCCGTCTTCCTTCATTCCTTCAAAACTCTTTAACCCCTAAACCTTCCGTCACCCCTCCCCCTCCATGGCATGTGAGTAACCTCTACCCTCACCTGTTACATTGCCAGGGAACGAACGGAGAGGAACCCGATCCTCACTTGGTGGAAAGCGGGGGCAAGGGAAGGGTTGCCGGTCCCTTGTGCCACCAAGAGGGAAAGGATACAAGGCTATTGAGAACAATTGTGAAAGCAAAAAAAAGGCGTGCTACTTTTGCAACAAGGTCAGTTTGACTCAACCATCTTCCTCGACTGCATGACTAAGGGGTTCGTGTGGCTTGCTTGCGGGAAGGAAAGGGAACTCATAATGGAACCGGAAGTGAAAGGAAGACTTAGGCTTGTGGGAAGGGGCGATGTGTTGACCCCAATGGGGATTGGAATTGCTCTTTGCTTTGTGTGGCCTTGCGCAGGTGAGTGGCACGGGATGGTCTTTGAGCGCGATTGGATCCAGCTGGAGGATCGGCAAGGGAAGGACATAGGTTTAGCATGAATGGGACAGGTCCGGGGGTTGGATGCTTGGATGAATGATGGATGGCGTGGTGTGGCTTATGTGATGAATGAATGGGGTGACTCTCTTGTGTGCGGCTTGCCGGCCCGAAAAGACTAAGGGCATCCATGGATGATGTGAATGCTAGACCGACGCTGTAAGCAAAAAAAATTATAGGGGCTAGGGGTCGGGCGACGATGTTGCACCCCGAGGATGCCCTTGAAACCACCTGGGATCCCAACACTTAGTGAAAAGGTGTGTGGTCCAATGGATGACGCTTGGCCTACACACGAAAAGAAGATGAGCCCTCAACGAACCCCCTGGACTGCCTGCGTATTGGAAGGAGCAATTGCCTGGTCAGACTCAAATGAATCGAGAAAACRCCWCGAGTGRCCAAAGAGCTACCATCGAGAGYGRAGCTACATCCCCCAATGTAARGCCCTCTCGCAAAAGGCCCATCCCCATYCATCTCAAAGCACTAGGTGGGGGTGCCCCTGGGACGAATGACCCGCGCCCTGAGCATGAGCGTGGGCGGGTCGAGCCAACTGGGACCCGCAGTGGGGTCGACTTAGGCTCGAAAGTCCTTCAGGGTACGGCCCCTACAACGGGCCATGGTCCAAACCACTTGGGAAGCAGTTTGCGTGAAACATCCTATTCCAGTGCAAACTCTTCCGCGGAGACCCAAACCAGATCACCGGCGCGGATGGGACATGGCACACGACGCCTGTTGTCTTGCTGCTGCATGCGGACTTGAGCCTTTTGCATGTTCGCGCGGGCTTGAGCCAGCAATTCCCTGTACTTCCGGATGGAAGCGGGAGAGCAAGCGGCGTTGATGTCGGCTGGTCGTGGGAGGAGAAGGTCGGCGAAGATACGGCCTTTCCGTCCACCGTGGTGCAACTCGAATGGAGTCACGCCGATCGCCGGGTGCACCGAAGTGTCGTAGGCGAACTCGATGTCGGGGAGGCGGTCAACCCAATCTTTCTGGTCCGGACGGATGAGCGTACGAAGCATCATTTGAGCGGTTTGATGTGCCCGCTCCATTTGCCCGTCCGTTTGTGGATGCCGAGCCGAACTTGGTTTCATCTTCGTGCCGGACTCCTACATGAGAGCAGTCCAAAATGCCGACATGAAGCGAGTGGCGTGGTCGCTGACTATGTCTTCCAGTACATCGTGGCCGCAAATCCAGCCGGTGTGCAAGAGGTGTGCCAGCTCAGGAGCCGTGAAGTAGTACATGCAAGGGAGAAAACGCGCATACTTACTCAAACGGTCCAGTGAGGATGTCGTCATGCCCGAGGCGATCGCGGGGAAATGGTCCGGTGACATCCATGGCAATGGAGAGGCCGGGTTCCCGTGGGATAGGCATCGGGTGCAACTCACCGTAGGGGTTGCGATTGCGGGGCTTGCTTCGTCGGCAAACTTCACAAGAGTCGCAATACCGAGTGACATCGGTCATGAGGTCGGGCCATCGGAATCGTTGTCGAGGCCGTGCAATAGTGCGGTAAGCTCCAAAATGGCCGGCGAGTCGCGAGTCATGGTACTCCCCGAAAAGGCGAGTCCGAAGACGACGGTCTCGTGGGACACACAATAAGTCCTTGCCTCTCGAGTGGAGGAGCAAGTACCCATCGGCAATGCGATAGTGGCTGGCCGGCGGGKGATCCGAAGATAGCTGCGCATACAACGTGGCGAAGTCCGGATCCGACTGATATCCCCGGATGAAGTGTCGCTGGAGTTCCTCGTCGAATGCGAAGGCATGGTGTGTCATGGTGCAAAGATCGGGTCTTCGCGAGAGTGCATCTGCTGCGTGATTGGAGAGGCCGGGAAGATGTTTCAGTGTGAAGTCAAATTGGTCGATGAAGTACATCCATCGTTCGATCGTGCTGCTCATCGTATCCTGCGTCTTGTAGTAGGTCAATGGGTTGTTGTCCGTGACCCATGTGAACCTACGACGCCCAAGGAGGAAGTGCCGCCATCGCTTGAGAGCCATCACGAACGCGAGCAGCTCCTTCTTCCTTGCATCATCAAGCGAGTTGATGGGAGGCACTTTGTGGCTGAAATACTCCACAGGGTGCCAGTCGTCGCCGTCGTGTTGTTCCAAGACTGCCCCAATGCCATAGYCGGAAGCGTCAGTTGTCACTCTCGTAGGCAGGGTGGGGTCATAGATGCTAAGGACAGGTACCATGAGCATGGCCGTCTTAAGTGCTTGGAATGACCGGTGTGCGTCGTCATCGAATACGAATGGCACCTTTGGCGATTGTAATCTCGTCATAGGTGCAGCAATCCTTGAGTACTCGGTGATGAATCACTGATAATAACCTGCCAATCCCATGAATGAACGAACGTCCGTGGTGTTGGTGGGCTCGGGCCATACGCGTAGGGCCTCGATCTTGTCTGCAAGCGGGCGGATGCCTTGCGGCGTCGCATAATGTCCCAAGTACTCCAGCTCTTGCCGCGCGAATTCGCACTTGTTGCGGTTGGCTTTGTACTTGGCTTGTCGTAGCCACTCCAAAACGGTGCGCAGGTGTTCCACATGCTCGTCCAAACTCCGGCTGTACACCAGGATGTTGTCGAGGTAGATAAGTACGTATCGATCTAGCATGTGTCGGAACTCCATTGTCATAGCCGCTTGGAAAGTGGTCGGGGCATTCATAAGGCCAAATAGCATAACCAGCCATTCGAAATGCCCATATCGCGTTTTAAACGCCGTTTTGTAACGGTCCTCCTGCCGAATCTCGAGTTGGTGATATCCCGACTTGAGGGTCAAGCTTGGAGAAGAACTTGGCGCTGCCCAGCCGTTCGAGGAGGTTGTCGATGTGCGGAAGAGGGCTGGCGTTTCTAACCGTTTGCGCGTTGAGCTTGCGATAATCGATGCACAACCGCAAATCCTTGTTCTTCTTCCGGACGAAGAGAACAGGAGCACCGTATGGCGATGAGCTAGGCCGAATCCAGCCTTTCTCTAGAAGGTCGTCGAGTTGTGCCCGTAGCACACTTAACTCTTTCTCGCTCATTCGGTAGATGCAACCGCGTGGAGGTACAGCCCCGTCCTCGAGGATGATCTCGTGGCGGATGGGCCGATCCGGTACTACTCCGTGCGGTCCTTCGAACACGTTGCCGTAGGCGTCGAAAAGGTCGGTGATGCGTGGGTCCGAAGATGAGTCCGTCGATGAAGCGTCATGGGGAGGGAGGGCGTGGAGAAAACACACCCCCATCTCCTCGATGTCGTCTCTGATGATGGAAGCTCGCATGCTTGCTGCGGACACCACGTGGCAACTGATCGAAGGATGAGGAAGAGGCACCGTGCATGGGACTAGTACTCCGTTCCGATCACGAATGTGAACGGTGCGGTGGTAGAAGTTCACCAGGTGATCCACGCTTCGCAGCCATGACATGCCCAAGATCATGTCGAATTTGGTGTCCAATATATCAAAGGACACCGCCTTGCTTGCATGCGGGGCAAAGTACACGGGGACGGCATCAATGCACCGGTCGATTGACTTGTGCATGTGACTCTCTGCCAATGTGACTTGCGTCGGCTGGGACTTCCTCCGGACGCGTGGGCCAAGGCCGGCGCGTACCATAAAGTCCTGACTCATGTAGTTGCGAGATGCTCCGCAACCGATCAAAGCATTGCAGGTCGCCTCTCCGATCTGAATGCGTACATATAACAATGGTGCGTCGATGTCGTCGTCCCGTTGTGTCTTGAACTCGCGGTCGATCTTCGCAATGTACGTGTGAAGGTCGACAACCTCTACTCCGGCGTCCATCAGCGGAGTTGGTACTGCAGTGTGCAAGTAATCCCGCAATTGTGCCATGAGCACATTGCAATGCGGTTTCGGCAATCGACCGGTCGGGGGAACGGGCATCCATTGGAAGTCCGCGAACGTCAACGGGTCGAGCTCTTCAAGTCTTGATCATGACGTTGAATTCCCGGCGATAGATGGCGGCAAAGCTGCCGAATCGGTTGCCGATGGTGATGAAACTGTGCATGCGGTAGATTGTTGCACGTGGAGCAGTTGGTCCAACGGTGGGACCAAGTGAACAACATAAGTGTACCGAGGACTTACGACATTCGCATCCTCCCCAGATGTGTAGGAGGTCGCTAGCAAGGCGGCCGAATCTGGCGGAGTGGGAGGTGGAGTCGCCTCACCTCCTGCTCAACTCAGTTTCCCGAGTTGATACGAGGCCGAACATCCTCCTTGCCTTGATCCGGGCATTGGGAGGTCTTGTGCTTGGTGTTGTTGCACCAATAGCAGCAGCCGTAGTGGTCGCGCCACTTGTATTCCGCCTCGGTCAAGTGAAACTTGACCCATGATGCTGGCTGTCCGTTTCCGGCCGGCGATGCGGTTTTCGCCTTCCCGTTTCCTCGGGCTATTGTTGTTGCTTCGCGGCTGGACAGCAACCACCTGATCTCCGGTCGGGTCTTCCACAATGTTGTCCGATTGGACTGCAGGGACATGCTGCGGTCGTGGACCAGTTTTCACCTTCTCCACATAGGTTGGCTGCCATGTTGACTTCTCATGTGCAGCCGCCCTGTTGGTCTTGATGATCTCCCTCACCTTGTCAATGATTTCAGCGAAGGTTGCATATTGCTCGCGATCACCAAGTGCAAGGCTCAATGCGGTACATGACCGGTTGTAGAACTCACGGCGTAGATGTGAAAATGGTAAGTCAAGATCGGGCGTTGCCGCGATCTTCTTCCATTCCGTGAGCCACTCACGTGTTGTTGTGTTGCCTTGTGTCATGGCGAAGAGACGGTTGATGGCGAGTGCTGGCGCGTCGTCCACGATGAACCGCTTCTTTCATAGCCGTGTTAACGCTTCCCATGAGATCTTGTCTTTCAGATCTGCAACGTCGACGCCGTGGACGGATGCCAGGTGGCTTAACCAGATCTGGCATCCGCCCTTTGAGTTGAGAAACAGGGCGCCGATGTACACGTGCTTGGCGACGAACAGAATCCGAAGTTGCGTCGTAAAGCCTTCCCACCAGAGGACCGGGTCTTGATGCGTGTAGTCATCGAACTTCTCAATTTGGAAAGTTGGCATCTTATAATGCGTTGTGCTGTTGCCATCCTTGTCAGGCAGCTGCAGTTGCTCAACCTCGGTCTTCAAGGTGTCCAACTGTTTGCTGATGGTGGTTGGCGCAGCGAAGGTGCTGATGTCGCCGAGCATTGCGACGACGTGGTCGACGCGTTCCTCCAGTTGGCGGGCAGAGGGTGCACTGCTGGACTCGCCAGCTTCTGGTCTTGGTGCAGTTTGCTCCAAGTCCTGTACATGGGAATCAAGTGTCCGTGCTGCATCCTCTTGCTGAGCCTTATGGTTCCACATGGCCCGCTGCATATTCGCCAGCTTGGACTGCAGGTGGTTACAAGTGTAGACCAACCGAGTCACGAGTTTGGCCATGAATTCCCTGTGCTGCTCCTCCGGTGTCGCGTCGTCGTGCTCCTCGGATGGTTCAAAGTGCCAATACTTGAGTTTTTCGATGCTGGTGGCCTCATGCCGCTGTAGCAGATCCTGGGCCTCCTTGCGGCGTGCCTGGGTATCTGCGTCTGCTTCGGCCTGAAGTCGCTGCTTCTCAGCTGTTGCCGCTGCTTCAGCCTGTAGGCGGACAGCCTCGGCTGCCAGCTGGCGCTGTTCCTCAGCCTCAATTAGTGCGAGCTGAGTCTGGAACCGCTGTTTGTACTCGGCAATGGACTCGCTGGCCAGTTGGCCTGGCATGCCCAGAGCTGAGCCCGTCATGGTGGCGGGGTACTGCTGACTAGGCACTGTGGCACTGCTGACGTGGCACTGTTGCTGACGTGGCACTGCTGACATGACTCTGTTGCTGACGTGGCACTGCTGATGTGGCACTGTTGCTGACGTGGCACTGCTGACGTGGCACTGCTGACGTGGCACTGTACCAACCCGGAAATGCATGCAAAAGGGGTGGGTGGGAGGGAAAATGCAGGTAGGTAACCAACCCAACAATACTTTCCTCCCGGCCCTAATCAACAGATAAAATCAAATAAAATAAAAAAGAGGACTACTTCCTTTTTTTTTTTTTTTTTGTATATCTGTCGATCTGTTATGAGTGAGACATGTCAGAAGAGTACTATGAGCGAGATCTARGCTAGGTTCCGCAAAGTTTCGGCTTTCACAAAATGCGATCTTGAAAAAAAAAATTGTGAAATAGAGTAGAGATGCAATTTTCAGAAAAGAACTAAATCCAGTTTCTGAGAATATGGCAACCTCCGAATATGCCTAACAAAATGTTGGTAACTTGGTAGGCTTCGCAAGATTTCGGTTTTCAAAAAAAAAATTTGCGAGATAGAATGGAAATTCGATTGCCTAGAAAACGAAATACTAACTTCAGAAATTTTCAGCTATGTATGCAAATATCAGAGAAACGAAATGCTACTATCGGGAATTTTCAGATAAAACGAAATGCGATTATCAGAAATTTTCAGATATTTGTTGCATGAAAACGAAATACCAATATCTGAAATTTTCAGGTAAACGAAATGCGATTATCAGAAATTTTCAGATATTTGTTGCGAGAAAAAAAAATTCAGAGATTTGACGAAGTCCTACTTGATTTACTAACGAGTAATTAATAGATCAAGCAAGCTGGCTACTTGATTGAGCGGGTCCTCTGAATGAGAGGTCCACTCCGATACCAAACTGTTGCATACTGTAAAGGTGCAGACCAGAACAAGAACCGACCTCTCATACATAGGGCGAAGCGGAAGACTTAGATACCAATGATCCGAACAATCAATATTGCAATGCAGCCCCGAACATACATCATCATCATCACTCCATGGTGTGAAGCGGTCTGGCGCTCACACAGGAAGAATGCGCCAGCCCCAACCATACACAGACGAAGAAGAGGGGGGTTAGATGAAGAAGAGGGGAAGATGGGAATGTCGTCAACACCAAGTCTTCGGCACAGGCCCAAATAGTCCCTCGTCACAATGTCTGAATCCCAATGTCGAGTCTGGATCCAGTGTCGTCAAGTCTCAAGTGACAACTCTCTCTCTCTCTGTCGTAGTCCGCTGACACTGAGAAGTCAGGTGGTGAGAGGGGAAGAAGCGATGGTGGACTTAGAGGAGGAAGAAGAAGAACTCTCTCTCTCTCTCTCAGTCCGGTACTAACTTGTGAAGTTGGCGCCTTGATGCAGGTACCTCGAAGATGGAGCTGGAGCTATGGCGCCACAGGTAAGTCTCACTGGCCTTCGCCAGTCATCTCTCCCAACTCTACTACTACCACCTACTAGTGCCCAGCGCTGAAGACTACTGTTATGGCTTCTAGCGCCCAACGCTGAAGACTACTGCTAGCGCTAAGCTACTACTGCAGCGCTCCTCCTGAGTGCTGTGGCCGAATCCTGAAGACTACTCCTGCCTTCTGTCCAACTACCTGCCCGTGAAGTGCATGGGAACTCCCTATGTACTACTCGGCCTGCCTCCTGACTGCAGGGCGAGGCAGTCCAGGAGGCTGCTCTTGCCAATGCTGAAGCGAGTCAGGGGCTGCCGCTGCAGCTCCTGCTTGAGGCTGTCGTGGGAACAGGCTAAAGATAGCCTGTTCCTGAAACCCTGGTTTTGTGCCTGAGTGTTAGGGTAGGTCGATCTTATGAGGGCCCGAAAGTGGCCCTCCGTTTCAGGCTGAAAAACCTCAGGGCTGAAAAAGCCCTGTTTTAGCCTGAAAACGAAATAGGGCCTGCAGGCCCTCGTTTTCAGTCTTTCAGGATGAAACGACATGGGGCCTGTAAGCCCTTATTTCTAGGCTTTTAGGCTGAGAATGCGGGACGGGCCCTGCAGGCCCGTGTGGCTACGCAGTATGCCACAGATACGGTACAGTACCAGTTGATAGAGAGGACAAGCCAGAAAAGAGACCAGAGATTTCCAAGTAGTCCCAACCAGCATCTACCAGAACAGGCTAACTTAGGCAGGGGTGAAGATCGGAACATCCTTCCTCAGGGAAGTAATCAATGCCGTCTTGGGGGCCTCCACACCATAAGGGGGAGGAGCGTAAGTGAGTAACCTTTGCACAATCTTGGACTTGCCGGGGGAATAGGAACCGGACTGATTCTCCCCAGAATGGAAAAGGAGCCAGGACCAGAAGGTTCTGTTTTTAAAGGGGGAAAAAAAAAAAAGGACTCTCTTCTTTGGTTTTCAAAGAGGGACCCAGTTGCTCTCTGTTTTCAAGAAAGGGGGTTGGTCCCTAGCATGATTGTACTTGTCTGCTTCCATGATGATGGCAAACCTTATGATCTATTTACTAACAGTTACATGTGTATACCATTCAGGCACGTGGCCTGTCTGTGGCATAAGGACTCTAAAGGGAGTCTAAAGAGTCCTTGCATAAGTTGTGGAGCAATTTGGACTTTTAAGGCGCAGGGGTCATGCTATCTTCTCTGTATCGTGCCAATTTTAACGGATGTCCACGTCAGACTGATTTTTAAGGCTCAAATCTGACAAATATTGTTGGGCCACCTGCCTATAATCGTTGTGGTGGTTCTGTTGATGGATGGCTTGGATGCATCAGGTCCTATGTACAGTCCTACAGGAGAGGCTATACCATGGCCACCACTTGATTATGCACAGTTCTGCGAATCCCTTGACTTGTCCCAATCTTGTCTGTCATACCCATCCTGCAAGCTGACGGCTGGCTGCTACCCTCACTATTGTGAGCTGCGCGACACATGTTGCACTCTCAAGACTGAGGAAGTCTGCATCGACGAAACTGAGACTCTGGGATGCGCTTGGGCTCAAGAGTGTGTGCCATTTGCAGGTCAGAGTCATCTCCCTCTCCATCTTATCGTCAGCAGAGGTGTTTGCTGAAATTTTCATAGGAACATGTCCTCTGATGTTTGGTCAGAAATGTGCTCAGAGTGCCCTTTTAGGAGGTGTTGTCAGCAATGTGAAAATCAGTCTGTTACTCTGTTCAGCAGGGTTGTCAGACCGCCTATGGCCTGTGCTTGGTTTAAGTATGGTGGTTGCCTGGCGTTTGTATGTTCTTTGAGGGGTATTCAGGGCTATTTCAGCGGGGGGTGTTGGGGGGTTGTAGGGGTGTGTTGTGGGGGAGCTTCAGGGGGTGTTTGGCGGGTGGTCTGTGGGTGGTTCAGGTGTGGTGGTTGGTGGGTGTTTGCGTGAAAGGATTCACGCTGCAGACACCCAGCCCCGGTCCCAAGGTCCAAACAAGTCCCAAGTCTCAGGGCCGTTCCGTAGGGTAGGCCGTAGGGCTCAGAGGTCGAAGTGTTGTAGGTCTGTAGTCGTCGGTACCGAAGCGTCGTAGGTTGGTAGGGGTTTGTCCGGTAACCGACAAGAAGAGTCCAGAAGCGTCCAGTCCAGTCTGACAGTCCCAAGTCCAATTTTGCAGCATGTCTGTTACATGCTGTGCCTGCACACGGGCCCCATTTGAGGGGCCTGACGTTTGCTGAGGGGCCCCCAGGCCGCATGCCATCAGACATGCGCCTTGGAGGCCCACGGCGGCCCCCAGGCTGTATGCCATCAGACATGCGCCTTGGAGGCCCACGGCGGCCCCCAGGCCGCAGACTTCAAATATAGGCGGCAGTATTTAACTACTTGTTTAATTATTTATTTAATTACTTACCTGTTGCCCCTATCCCCTCCCCACACGATATGTCAGGGTTGTTCTGGGTAATGAACAAAGAATGGTTGATAACGACAGGACGGAGGAACCGGACGAGGAATAACAGACCAGAAGATTATCGACCTCCCACTCCTTATTGGCCAGCCCTGCTCCGCTCGTGGAGGAAAATCATTCCCAACAAGATCAACAGACCGAAATCCAAGGACAAAATATTAAGGCAACCACTTTTTGGGAATGAATGGATAACAAACGAGGCCGACAATCCGATCTACCTTGAGCAGAAATGGCTGTCCTGGGTCAAAAATGGTATCTGGAAGATAGACCACCTATGGATGGAAGATAGGAAAGAATGGATAACGGAAAAAGAAGCAAGCGCCATATTGAAAGGATGCCACAGACGAGGGGCAAATCTCCAGTACCTAATTAGTCGCATTCCACAAGACTGGAAATACATCCTGATTAAAGATGAGCCGTGGAGACCAGGGGAATGGGGCCTCACGATACAAGACAGTTACCCCGCTAGAGCCTTTCAATTCTCCCATATACAGCAAGGCTCACCCGCTAGAGCCTCCTTCCTATCCTTCCCGATTTCCTACGACAGCACTGACATGCCAACCATCCTGAACCAGGACGTTGAATCCTCCATAATGGAATTTTTCCTTCTGAGGAAAGTTAGGGTCCTAGGCACGTGGCCAAAATCAATCTTCAGACCTGGGACTGCAGTCCGTTCCTTAGAATTTGATCCCGCCGAATGGGCATGGAAACCCAATAATAACAGCAACTCAAGACAAAAATCCCAATTCAGGACTACACCGTCAAACTAGGGTACAGACTCTCATTGAAGACTAAAAACCCAGACCCCATTATTAAAAACAGGTGGCAGAAACTGGTGGGTCAAGAAGCTGACAGGATTCAACGAATCCCATGGGAAAAATTCAAACGAATTAGACCAGTCAAGATCAGAAGCTTGCAGTGGCTGATAGCTTACGCTGCCCTACCTGTAAACCAATGGTTGCACACCAGACGGAAGGCCACAAATCCTGACAGCTCAGAATTATGTGCAGTTTGCACGGAAGGAGCGGTTGAAGATGTAGTCCACTTTCTAGTCCTCTGCAAGGAGGCCACGGAATACTGGGCGAGAGCCTCTTCACTCTGGAATTCCCTTTTCACATCTTCCTTCCCCACACAACCCCTCCAACTGCTCCTCTTGACTAACATCCCCAATCAGGCTCGGAGGGCGGAAAGGATTTGGTTTGAACTCATCAGGAAAGTGACACTATGGGTCATATGGAAGGAAAGATGCAGCAGGACAATCGAAGGGCACGCCAACCATAGGGAGAAGGTATGGATGGAAACCAAAATGATGATTCAAGCGGAAATCCTGTGCACATGGCGTAAGATCAAACAAGTCTGGTCAGAGGACGAAGACCAACGGAAGAAGGAAAGGGCGAGGGTCTACAACAGCTGGAAATATTGCGATTTTCCACTACAGAACAGCGATATTGCGATATTGCGATTTTCCACTACAGAACAGCGAGAAAATAAAATCCGAGAAAAGAAAAAAATTTTGATTTTCGGTAGTAAGGTCAAGATCGTGATTTTGGGGTCTAACTAGTATGTCCTAATCAATCGAAAAAGACTAACTAGTTTTTAAGTCCCCGCACATGTGTCAGATCAGGTTTGTCCTGATTCACGTGCAAAGCTCCGATACCAACTGTTACATGCACAGATATGCCATGTACGTAATAACCGAGGAACTGCAATGTGATTAAAAGGACTGAAATGGACAATGTAGTGCGAGTACAATCTCGACAGACAATGTGCATTCTCATACATACAAAAGGTGCTGAATAGCGCAGGGAAGACTTAGATACAATGACTGACCTGACAAGGACTGACCTCATACACGTAGTTCAGAGTAACGAAGCAGAATGCTAGAGTACTACTAACTAGCCCAATCAATGTTGAACTTAGACTAAACATGCATGGTATCCATCACCAAGTGTGAGGGAGCCTGGTGCTGTACACAGGAAGAAAGCGCCAGGTCAAGACATACACAGACGAAGAGACAAGGATCAGACGAAAGGAGGGGAGGGAAGATGGGAATGTCGTTAACACCAAGTCTTTATCACCAATCCCAGATAACCCCTCGTTCCCATGTCTGATGTCCCGAATGTCGAGTCTGGGTCCAATGTCACCAAGCTCGGTATCTCTTCTCTCGTAGTCTGCATATGCAGTGAAGTCAGAAGTTGAGAGGGGWAGAAGGAGGTGGTGGACTGAGAAGAGGAAGAAGAAGAACTCTCTCTCTCTCACTGTTACGAACCAGATACTAACCTGTGAAYGTGGCGCTGTGCTGCAGGTACCTCGAAGACGAAGCTGGAGCAACGGCGCTGCAGGTAAGTGTCTCTGGCCTCCGCCCAAGCTCTCTCTCTCTCTCTCTAGTACTACCTAGCTATGGMGCCCAGCGCTGGAGACTACAGCTACCYACTGCGCCCAGCGCTGAAGACTACTAGCTWACGCTACAACTACTACCAAGCAGCGCTCCCTCCAGAGTGCTGCTCCCGAATCCTGAAGACTACAACTGCCGACTGCCTACCTCGGAAGTGCCTGGGAAGTCCTATGTACTACCTCGGCCTGCCTCCTGACTGCTGGAGGCGAGTCAGGCCGAGGAGGCAGCTCTTGCCAATGCCGAAATGTGCCAGGGGCTGGCGTGCAGCAGCCTGCTTGAGGCTGGCGTGGGAAACAGTCTATATATAGGCTGTTCCCCAAAACCCTGGTTCGGTGCCTGAGTTTCAAGGCCGGTCGTTCTGATGAACGACCGAAAATGGCCCTTCGTTTCAGGCTAAAAAGGCTGTTGCCATTTTTAGTCTGAAACGACACAGGGGCAGGCCCTGGAATTCAGGCTTTCGGCCTGAACCGACAGGGGGCCTGTAAGCCCTGGATTTCAGGCTTTCGGCCTGAAATTCAGGCTTTCGGCCTGAACTTCGCTTTTGGCCTGAAGGACGCAGGCCTGCAAAATGGCCTGCGTGTGCACACGCGCAGCATGTAACACCCCCCCCTCCTTATGAAGTCAGGCCGGGGCGAGGGCGAAGCCATCGATCTGAAGGTGGAACCTGGACGCGGGCGCGGTGGGGAGCCGAAGAAACCGGCTTGCCTTGCATCTTGCGTTCATAGCGTGCGAGAACGTCGGGAGCTGTTGCTTGCAGTTCCGCATGGGTTAACCAACGGTCAGCTCGGTGRGTGCAGTATGCAAAATGCACTAGGTACTCAGTTGGCTTGTTGCCAAAGCGTCGCTGGAAGATGATGTCGCCGACCTCCTGAAAACCATCCATAGAAGGTGGGTCTTGCGTACGTCTCCCGGGAAAGTCGTCCTGATCCGCTGGCGTGTAGAGAGCCAGTTTGGAGCAATGAAAGACTGGGTAGATAGGCAAGTGGCTAGGTACCTGAATCGTGAAGGAGGGGCCTTCAGGTGCGTCCCCAGCGGGCTCTATGATCGGCCAAGGCCCCATCCATTTCGGAAGGAGCTTGCGAGAGACGTCTTGTTCAAGGTTGAATTCCACTGCGGAAACCCAGACAAGGTCCCCGGCGTGGAATGGACGAGGAAGTCGCTGGCGATTGGCCTGCTGGCTCATGCGCTGCTGCGTCTTTGCCATCTGGTCGCGTGCCTTGACAAGAAGCTCTTGCATCTGACGCAAGAAGAGAAGATGGTCGTCGCTCTCAGCCGTGCGTGGAGTAGTAGTGTCCAACGGTGACGTGACCGGCGAGCCATGCTCGAACTCGAAGGGCGATATCCCAATAGCCGGGTGGATGGAAGAGTTGTAGGCCAACTCAACATCCGGCAGTCGCTCAACCCAGTCTTTCTGGTCGGGGCGGATGAGAGTGCGAAGGAGAACCTGTGCGGTCTGATGCGCCCTCTCCGTCTGGCCATCGGTCTGAGGGTTGCAAGCTGAACTGGGCTTGAGAGATGAGCCCCATCGCTTGATGAGCGCCAACCAAAAATCGGACATGAACCGAGTGTCGCAGTCACAGACGATCTCCTTGGGGTAACCCTTGGTGCGAATCCAACCGGCGTAAAGAACCTCGGCCAACTCCGGTGCCTTGGCATGATAGCGACAAGGCAAAAACATGGTGAACTTGGTGAGTCGGTCGACCACCGTGAGAATCCCATCCACTCCGGTCTTGTGCTTGGGGAACGGGCCGGTAATGTCCATGGCAATCGCTTCCCTTCGCCTCAACGGGACTGGCAATGGTCGTAACTCAC